TGGCGTTGTGGAAAATAAATATTGGTTCCTAATGTCTTATATACAAAGAAACAATGTTTCTATTCTCTAAAATAATTATATTTATGAAACATTAAAGTTTTATGATCTCACTAATGCCAGAATGAAATAACAAATGCTTCTCTCTGTAACGTGAAAAAAAAAATCCGATTGAAATACCAGCGATTCAGATCAATGCAGTTATCCAGAGTCAAAAATTGACAACATAATTCTTTTCACGAAACGTTTTTATTTTCCTGTTTTCCAATTAATCACCTCCATGCACGACAAAATCATGGATTCTAGGTTACGTTCGAATGCATGTTGTGCATATCAGAAGCGGCTGGCCACGTCGCGCTAATCGTATCGATCGAGCACTCTTAATCCATTAATGAACTTCCCAGGCTCGTTTTACCCTGGGTATCCGGGCTTTTCGCAGGCGCCGTCTGTATCTGTTACATCCCGCCGCCAAGTGTGTGTACGTGTATGTGAGAGTATGCGCCTTTACTTCACGTACGGTCGTTGACAAAAGTTTCAATTAAAACTGTTTCAATTACTTCGATTTGTGATGGGTAGATAATTTTTAATATCTTATTACATTTATACATCTTTATTGTATAATATCATGGTAAAGAGAAATTAGTTAATCATATATAATACATGTTATTTAAAATATATCGAAAGCTCGTAAATTCTAAGACATAAGATGACTCTTCGAATGTATTTCTATCCTCATTATTTACTTTGTAAATTAAACTTTGCATTTTTTAATGTATTTTATTTTTGGAGATCAACGGTGATGATTATCAGCACTTTTGGCTACGACTTTACAAGCGTACGTATGTATTTGTATAATGCGACACTTTACAGACTCTTGTTGGTTGACAGTGATTTTCCATGGGATACAAAACTGTCGTTAGACCCTTTTGCGAAAAGGTCTGTCTCCAACCCTCATGTACGCAGTTCACCTAAAACTTTTCCTACGAACCGCACACGAGGGTGTAACGCTGTATACCGAAGGGTTAGAAATTTCTCATTGTTCCTCTTTCCTTCCGCATCTTTCTTGCATTTATGTCTGATGCTTTGCTAAAATTTAGAATTTCTTCTTTCTTGAATGGAAATAATTGCAGGAGATTGTTGTAGCACTTTAATACAAAGTGAGGCAAATGTAAGATCGCAATCACACTTTTTTGTCGATGCTCGATCACACACACACACACACACACACACACACACACACACATATAATAATATATGTGGACAATATGAACAATAAAAATTATATATCTACATTTATTTTTGGCGATTCTTGGCATTTTCTGTATGCAAAGCTATGAAAATCGCCCGAAATTCCTTTAACAGAACCGCCAAACAAGCGATGAGTCTCTCACGCCGCCTTCATCCGACAACAAATTCCTCAAATATTTATCTGTCTTGCACCCTCGAATCTTTCTAGTACGTCGCCCCAAACGCCACTTCCGTTTTGTACTCGGCGAATGTGTCAATTCTGACGCCTATCGACATATGACAAACACCCTTCTCGTCTTCCACTACTTGTCGTCTTGTCGTTTCTGACATGCCTGACAATCGGCACAAAGCAACGATGTAAGAGGGAAAAAGTTGAAGGTGAAGATACGGCGATTTCGACATTCTTTTTTAAATAACTTGTAGAAAGTATTAAAAGTCAATCAGTTAAATTTTGGTTAATATATTTGTTAATCCCCATAACTGAATATATAAATTTGGTAAACTTCGAACAATTTCTTATATAATATAATTTTAAATAGTATAATATAATGACGAAAACTATAACAGAAAACATTTTAACGAGTCCCAATGACCCATATATTTTTTTAGCGTCACAAAATATATGTGTTTCTATTACGGGTTAATATAGTTTTCTTAAAAATCAAAATTAGCCAGTAAGAATTTCGATTGTTCAACACACATATTCTTAATTTAATGACAAATTACAACTAGCGATTTACGCATAAAGAATATACGCAATTAAAAAATATATTCTAACCGCGAAGTAAGTAAAAAATTTAGTTTCTGATATGTCCGGCCCATTCCAAATCCTAAATCTTTTATATCAGATAGCGAAATCTCCGTCGATTAAATTGAATGTTCGTGACATGTTTCACGCACCGGCTGCATGCAATTAATTTATTTTTCCCCGCTCGAGCGTTAATTGTTAAACTTAGATGAGCGGTCGTCGACGATTCCGCAGTTAGACTTCGAGATGGAAAGAAGGAGACAACTAGTTACTAAGAAGAGAGAAGAGAAGAGACAAGGATGCGACTGGACGTTCAATGTGGACAGGACGAAGAAAGACGAAGAGGGATGATCGTACGAAAGACGACGGAGAAGAGTCGAGGAGGGTTGCTGCCTAGGCCGGCGGCAGACCGAGCCGAGAGAATCGAGAAGTTCCGAAGGGAAGCGGGAAGCCAAAGACACGTCGCGACGGATAGATTGGGTTACTGAGATAATTAGAACGATGAGCGATGCACGCCTCGTTGAACGATTCTTTTTAGCCGGTCGGCGGTTAGTTTCGTGTTTTCCAGAGAAGTGATAAAGGAACGAAAGTGCCGCCGAGGGAAGATACGATCACCGAGCGTGCCATGTCCAGGAATCACGAGAGGGTACGGCGCGTTTCCTCGTCGATAAGTCTCAACAACGAAGATATTACGGCACCCTAGTGACATATTTTTATGCGCCGCAGCTACGACGTCGTCGTGCGATTGGTCGTTGAAGTCGGCGTCCCCGTGAGATCGCTTGACCGGAAATGTGCTGCCGTCGTAAAAACATCCACGGCACGTTTGTTCGACTGGAATATATTTATCGCGATTTCTCTTCTGAAGAACGTGATATTCCTTGGCAACCTTCTCCTCATCGGCAGAACTTTTGGAAACGCGATCTACTAGAGATACATCGGAACACTATATAAGTAAATCCGTTATCAGAAGCGAAGATCTGTTTTTCCTTTCGACCTCGCACAATTTTCAGATTACGAGCCTCTACACACGACGTCGCGCTTGACTTTACTCTATTTGCGTTGAGGGACATCTGAATATTTAATCGGCTCTTCTCTTCAACCAACCCCGCCTCCTTTGCTCCTCCGCAAACCCCGCTTCTCGTCCGCGACTCTCAGTCCCGGTTGCGGTGAATTATTTAACGCCTGCAGGGAGACCAGTTATCTATGCGAACCGACGTGTCAGCGAGATTTTAGTATTGTTTGTTTATTGTTTCTCTGTCACGTACGCTATCAATGACTATGCAACTCTCGGAGCATCGCTGTGTCATGAATTGCATTAATATGCAGTATAATAATACTTGGAATGGGCCGGCCATGTCAGAAATTCAATTTATCAGATGCACAGTTGAATGAATGATTAAATTAAATAGATAATTAATTGAAGAAACAAAGACTGAAGAGAGAGGATAAAGTAGAATATCAATTTTTATTTGATGTATTCTTTTAACACGTATGATTAATTTGTACATATTTAACATTTGTAATATAATATGATTATTTCATAAGACAAGTATCATGAGATTATATCAAAATTTATAGTTATGAAAGAATTAACAATGATGATTTTATTGTGTTTTGTAGATATTTAGAAGAGAAAAGTTAAGCTTAATTCTGTCAGCGCATATTTTTATCTCATTCGCGCATAGAAAAGAAATATTCCGGTCCAAATAAGCCGAAGACGAGGTGGCAAGATATTTGCAGGAGTTTCCCAGTTCCCCTTGTTGAAACCAAATCGGTAAATGCATAGGGCGATTGTTCGACAAATAGAGGTTGGGAGTAAATAATGTGTAAACACAATTTCTGCTATGTATTGAGAAACGTAGTCTTCAGCTACATTTTACACATGTAATTTTGATTTTTTATGAAAAAATCAAATGTGATATATTTACATAATAGAAAAAAGATTATTGGATGAATATATTTCAGAAATATTTAAATATAATATATATATATATATATATTTAAATATATATATTTTTTGTTTACAATATAAAGTGTTGTTTAATTTGTGAATATATAGTGCTTCACAATAATTTTTCGAATATAGCGCTTCTCGTGGAGAATGACGGTACTACGTTCGGCGTCTACGTTCGAACGTATGCTGCTTAGTAAAATACCGTATTTCTCGTCTACTGGTAATCTTTTTTTCTCTGTATTATTTTTATTATTGCATGATAGAATTTTATATTCAAGATATCTGACATAGCAATTTTGTGAGAGAGACACTAGGATAATTTCTTGCTGATTTATATATATTTATTCTATAAATATATTCTTATTATTGACGTTATCTTCTATCGCTTCCTTTTTCTCTTCATTCTTTGAAATTTTCTATCTTTTCGAATTTATTTTAGTATCATAAATATTCTAGAATACACACGACAAAATTAAGATAAAAAATGTTTTTTATAAATCTAGGAATTAATTTCATGGTGTTCCCAAGTGGTCACCCTAAGGTATATCCACCCCATCTAGCGTTGCTTGACTTTTGCGATCGTATGGAAACTGCTACTTCGATAATCCATGAACACTGAATGTTAACGGCTATATAACTATGAAGAAATATATTTATATGTATTCTTATGACCCAGTGAAATATTTTTATACATTTTACCAATCCATGTATGCATAATCATTATATACATAAATTAATATTTTTCTTGAATTATATATAATTATATTCCTGTTGCAACTTTGTTTAATGGGATATCGATATAATAATGATATATAGTGATTTGTCGATGTCTCGTGAATCATGTTTGTTTGTACACAGTGTGTCATATTTGATCAGTAAAATAGAACAAACATTCAACATCCTCTAAATAGGCTCCTAAGCATGTAGTACAGGTACGTATCTATATATTATATGTGCATTATGTTGTGCATATATTCGTGAGTATACATATGGATTTCAAATCCCTACTTCTTATCACGTGACCAATTTAGTTCGTTCAGATCAGAATCCTATGACAGGCGGCGCTTGTTGCAAATTTTTCGAGAAGGGATTTGGATAGTTTGGACTCTCTGATTGAATGCAATAATTCCTATGATGGCGGAGGGGCCAGAATTAAATTTCTTTGATTTGCGAACGGTACATGATCATTTTGATCAAGCACTCGTGGAAAATGACGATATTGATCTAAAAGCATATCTGGAGGCCTACAACGAACTATATAAGTAAGTTGGACTTGTCATAAAAACATAACCTTATTATGCACAGATGTCAAATTATTAATTATCTGATTTATTATGGTTGACGAGCAGTTGATTTGATGAGCAGTCTTAAGACATCTTTGCAATATATCAAAGTAAAACAAATAATTGAAGGCAAATAACAGCATTAAGTAATTCTTTATAATATTATATTAAAAATATTTATATTATATATCTTATATTGTTTTTATCCAAAATTGAATAAATAAAAATTTCTAATCAAATATTTGTAAATAATATATTGTTATATATTGTGAATAATATATACATTACATAAATATGTCATTATATAAAAACTGTAATTCTTTGATATTATTAACAGATTCAAATTTTTTACTGTTATCATTTTATATTTGCTTCATTAACTCAGCAAATTATTTATATTATCTCTTATCAATCTGTGATACCAGATTTCAGATTACGATATAAGATTTGTATTTTGTAACATGCTATGTGCACATACAGATTTTTTCAGCTGATGGGCAGTGTCTTCAGTTTTGTCTCTTCTGATCTGAAACAAAAGATAGAAATCTTGACTGAATTAAAAAGTAAAGATGCTCAGAATTATATGACTGTTAAATCTATGATTGAATATGAAAGAGAAAACAAACTTTTAGAGAAAACCGATTTTGTTAATGGCGCACGTACTTTATTGAGACTTCATAGAGGCTTAGGTACTACATTATGAGATTTCATTTATCTTTTGATATTATTTAGAAATTAACATTTGACTTATGTTATTCGGCCCTCTAGATTTTATTAGGGAATTTTTACAACAATTGGGTGATCTCGCAGATGTTGAGAAAACGACTTCCTGTTGTCAAGATGCATACAATAAAACTTTGGCCAAGCATCATCCATGGATGATCAGGAAAGCTGCAATAGTTGCAATGTACACTATGCCTAGTAGGGAGATTTTGTTCAAAAAGGTAAATGGATTAACAGAGTCATTTTAGGACTATGAAGTTGATATATTGAACAGGTTATTTCACTTATCTCCTCAGGTTTGCGGTGAAAATGTTCAGCGGAATATAGATGTTTTACCCAAAATGTTGGAGGTGACTGCCGACGTATTTAACCGCACTGATAGCATTTATGAGACTTATCAGTTGCATGCTCTACCATAAATGATCTTAGAAAATGAAAACGATAGTTCATCTACTTTCGGCTTTTCGAAGTACTACATGCGATCATTCCACATTTTCGAGACATTGTGATATTACTGCATTGCGACATTTATACCATTGCGATATTATAGGTTTAATATTCTTAATTAATATGTAATAAATAAGCAGGAGCTTATTTTTGGGGGGAATTTGTATTTCTTGGTAATTAATTGATATAGGTGAATAATTATTATACATACAAAATAATGTACAAATAATGGCACAAGTGTACAATAAGTATATTACATTAAGTAATGTGATTTTGTCATTTTAACTTATAATTAGTATATATTATTGCGCGCAGAATTTTATTAATTTTATTAGAAAACATTTTGAGAATTTTAAGCACGACCGTATGTGTGAATACATACAAATACGATAAAGAAAGCCATGATCAGTCAAAGTTGGATGTTTCAAATAATACATTATATATTCTTATATTAAATTAATTTATTCCAGATATGATTGCGAGCCAATAACATTTCAACATACGGAAAGTTGAGATGTCCCAGGTTCGAATCCTGAGGTAATATTTTTGCAATAAATTTCTCATTTTTTTTCTTCCTTTCTTTCAAATCTAATTTAGAGGGGATTGTTAATGGTTCAGAATGATTGTATTGAAACCGAATGGTTATTGGCTCGCAATCATATCTGGAATAAATTAATTTAATATAAGAATATATAATATATTATTTGAAACATCCAACTTTGATGGCTTTCTTCATCATATTTAATTTTATTAGATTTAAACGTCATTTCCAATCAGGATTGGTGATTTCGAATAGTACGCTATAAGTTATATTTTGATGTTTATAAAAATTACTCATAAAAAAGATATATAATAAAATTTATTTGTGTCTTCCTTCATTATTATTTCATCTCTCTCTCTCTCTCTCTCTCTCTCTCTCTCTCTCTCTCTCTGAAATATTATTATTTAATTATATAATTATAACACTTATAATTACTTAATAAGAACAGTTGTTTACTGTCATTTCTTCAAAGAAATAATAAAAAATATGAACATACGAAATTTCAACAATATGTATAATATCACTATGATATAATTTCTTAATTCTGATGTAACTTTTTAAATTAACGAAGTTAATGTCGAAGTGACGTTTGACACTGTCGTTATATTGTTTGAGACAGATAATACTGAAGTATCATCGAGTAATACACCTGAAACAAAATGAAATAAAATGTGAAAGATGAATGTTTGATGCAATCATTACAGAACTTTTATTCTAATAGATTAATTATTTATTTTGGATATTAAAAGTTTTTAATACTTAAAATAAAAATAATTAATCACTATTTTTTAGTATACTAAATTACCTAACGTTAAATTAGATTTTTGTAAAGGATCTGAAACTTGAGGAAATATAACATGTTATGAATTGAGATTTCAACTTTACCGGCGATACTAGCTGTGAGAAAACAGACGGCGCTACCAGTAACGAAGGCTCGCACAACGACTTTTGTTACTTGCTCTTTCTTTTCTGGCATCAAAGACGAAAACAGGCCAACCTGGATACCAATCGAACTTGGATTCGCGAAACCGCAGATCGCATATGTGGCTATTGCTTCCGATCTTCCGTATATTCGGCCCTGCTTTATCAATTCACCCATCCTTTGATAAGCGACTAATTCATTGATAATTGTCTTCATGCCTATCAGCATTCCTACGTCTTCGCAATGTTCCCAAGGAACGCCCATCACCCAACTTAGTGGCATAAAAATTTTTGCCAATATAATCTGCAAAACTATAATCCTAAAATTTGCCTAAAAGCATATATTTTTAGAAGCTGGGAAGATCAGCTTTGAAAAATTTTTTTTACCTCGAGACTCAGTTGTTCGTAACCAACCAAACTGCCGAACCAAGAGAGTATTCCATTTAAAAATGCAATAAAAGATACAAAAGCTACGATATTTGCGATTATACCTAAAACGACTGGGATCGCAGCTAATGCACCATTCGTTGCGGCATCCAAAATACTATTTTCCGATCTAATTACAATTTAAATTTTTACTACAGCTGTTATTAAGATAAATAATTTGTAGTTTCCGATTTATGAATCACTTACGATTTTTCAAGCTTGATATTTTCGGATTTTGTGAGACTTTGTTCAGTTTCTGGATAAAAGAGCTTGGAATAGGCTAAAGAGGTTGGTGCAGACATTATAGAAGCGGTTATTAAATGAGCTGGTTTAGCACCAAATGATATATAAGCGGCTAATACCGTACCTGTAATGAGTGCAAATATAATTAGAAATTGAAATTTAATGTTGCTAGTGACATGTATTTGTGAAATGTATGTGACAGAGACCAGAAATTGTGGAAAATCCCGAACTTAATACAGCATGCAACTCCGAGGAAGTCAATTGATTAAGATACGGTTTAATTAGAAGAGGGGATTCGGACTAAAAGACAAAATAAATCAGCTTAAAATTGAGACTAAAATTATTTTGCGAGAATATAAACAAATTACATTAGTTTACAGTTAAAATTATTTTCATTCAGACAAGATCCATGTTTGTTATAAATTTTTGGTTACTGAAGATAGTGCCATAAACCAAATTTTATTCTTATATCACATTTCAAAATAAAGTTTATTGAAAAACTTACTTTTTACAATATTTGAAATTTTTTTTTAAAAAGGTTAATTTTTTTTTAATTCTGATTAGAAATATTGTTCATCTTTAAAATAAATGTTTTTAATTTTAATATCTTATTTTTATAAGAAAATTTCAAATAATCTCATCATTTATTTTGGAAATCTGATGTACTAGTGAATTTGTGGCATTGTTTTTAACATCTAAAAATCCATAAAAAGCACCTTGTCTTTAAAATAATTAAAAAAATATTTTTTGTAAACTAGTGTTATTGCTTTAATTATTTAAACATTGCAATAATATTACCATTCCGATGAAAGGATTAGCAACAGCAACGAACGACTCACATAGCGTTGTACTCATTATGCTTTGCAAGACCCATCCTAGTTTCATAATGATCCATTGCATCGCACCGAGATAACACATAATTTGCACCATGAAGTTGAAGAAAAAGATTACGGGCACGACCTATAATGGATAGAGAATAGTTTGTGCTACTAATTTACGACAGTACAAAATTATAAATTAAAAGAAAATAATTTTACTGATAAACGAAGCAATGTAAAAATTTCTCCCAATGATAAAATTAATTGTTTTACATTTCTAAATACATTATAGTAAATCAACTAACCGTAAAGGCAAAGACTCCTTTGTTAACAATGTCTTCTGAGAATACAAACTTGGAGCCAGATTTAGTGTAATTCAAGAATGTGGCCACTTTAGCAGACACACATTGGAAAATATTACGACCAACAGACCATCGAAGAGTAATCAGTCCAAGTATAAATTGTAAAATCATTCCCCAAATGACAGATTTCCAATTGACCTGTATATATTTAACAAAATTGTTAAAATAATTAGAAAAAAATTAAAAGAACTGCACACAACCGAATCATTTTACGTTTCATTAAAAAGATTAAGTCACTCTAAACTTATACTTAATATTAGAACAAAATATTATAAAAATGCCAATACGAGCCTACGCTATAATTTGTTACAAAGTTATCGCATACGTTTTGACCTTAGATTTGAGTCCTCTTAAGAATCGAAATATATATGATAATTTTGTAATTAATTATTAATATATGAATTTGCGCAACAATTACCGTGCGGGATCATTGACATTTTTGTAATATTATCTATTAATTTATTTTTTTAACTCGTTTTGTTATAATTTATACTTAATATTTGAATTTTTCTTTTTTTTGGAAAATAGAATATCTTGAATTATATGTTGCGTAAAAAAAGTATAAACAAGAGATCCGCGTGCATTAAGTATATTAGACGATTTAATAAAGTGGGTTAATTTCAGCGGAATTGGCGACGCGTCTATCCACATGTCTCTAGTAATTTTCTCCGACAACACTCGTGTATATGTCTTAATAATTGGAACGCGTTTAAGCCGATGCGACAGATGGAAATAATTATTACTAAAATATAATAAAATGTAAAGTCCATGAATCAATTATTCTCTTGTAGATTTTCTTCAAGCGATAGAAAAAGAAATCCATTTCCTATTAACTTAAGAATGATAGATATCTGAATTAGAGATAGATCTGAATTAGAGATTTAAAACTTCAAGATTTACTTGCCTGTCCTGGATATTTAGAAAACACCCAACCTAATCCTAATAAGATAATGACGCCAAGAATACTAATTAGCCTGTGTCTGGAATCGACGGTATCAATGACGAGAAAAATAACGATGGCTATGAGTATAACTAAATAAATTATTATCACTCTGATGCGCGTTCCATATCTGGAAAATTTAAATATTGGTATAAATTTATAAATAATTTCTATTATTCGGATAAGAATAATGTTAACATTTTACTTGGTATTTTGCAACTGCTTCGAGAAATTTGTTGCTGGCCGGCAACATTGTAAGATGTATTTGTTAAGATATCGTTTTACAATCAAAAAATAAAATAAACCAAGATAAATTAGTCCTGTAAGTATAAGTAGTAAACCATAGCCTTCACACCATTGAAAATCACAATTTTTTTCTAAAAAAAAATGAAAAAACATTGTTATATAATTTTGTAAATTTTATCAATTAATTACTCAAAATTAAAAATTGTATGGAGACAAATTAACTTACGTTGATTTTCCCAATATATACTAGCAAAGATTATATAGGTTATAAAAAGAAGATTCAAAATTATTAAGCCAAACGTTTTAAAAATTCTTTGATGTTTTGAAAGGTAAGCATGGACTGCATTGTTGTTGATTGCCCAAGGATTTTTTTCTTCATGGTAATTTGTATTCTATGAAAACAGTACTATATGTTAATATATTGCTTTGAATTATTAGTATGTTATTTTATATAAATTTTTAAACGCTAGTAATTTTTGGAATTACTATACTGAGATAAAAGACCCCAATAAATTTTAAGATGTTTTCAAATTTTTTAAAATTAGTCCGATATAGTTTTTCTGGTATTTTAGGATTATGGTATTTTTTAGGATTATGGTATTTTAGCACTCAATAGTCGTTTCTTACATATAAATCGAGTTTCCTACATAATGAAAATCTGTAACCGAAGCTGTTATAATTATTTGTACGTGATTCATATATGCACTTATTGTGCGACATGTAATTATATGTACTTTATTT